TGGTGTGTGCAAAATTGGTAACGTCACGTTGTATTTCTGTAGTGGTGTCTGCAAATTTGGTAACTTTACTTTATATGTCTGTAGTGCTGTGTGCAAAATTGGTAACGTCATGTTGTATGTGTTTAGTGTTGTGTGCAAAATTGGTAACGTTACGTTGTTTGTATGTAATGCTGTGTGCAAATTGGTAATGTTACGTTGTATGTCTGTAGTACTGTGTGCAAATTGGTAATGTTACGTGGAAAGCATACAAAGTTGCGTGCAAAATCGTTTTTATTATGTGGAATGTTAGTACTGATACGTGGAATGTCTACAAAATTGCGTGAAAATTATGTAAGCTTGCAAAGCTGTTAACATTATTACTAACAGTAGTCTATGTAAAGTTGTGTGCAATGTTGGACTAAAGTTATGTGGCAAGTGTGGAAAGTTTCTCGTATCGTTGGTAAAATATGTGGAAAGTCAGCTAAATTGTCTGTGAAGTTGTTAAAGTTATGTAGAAATCTGTAAATCTGGAATGTCTACATTGCTACGTGACAAGTCTGGAAAATTGTGTTCAAAAATGTTAAAGCGGGAGGGTCGTCACCTGCGCACGCGCGGAAATTGAGTCCCAAGCAACGATAACAACACACGCTATAAACGCAAAGGCTCATGGCTAGATACTTGTTTGTAAACAATGAAACGCTATGGCCATTTGACGAATGCGCAAGTGCCGAATCCCCCGCTTTAAAGTTACATTGCAAGTCTGCATATTTGCACGGTTTCTAGTAACCGTGATATTTGCGGTTAAAGTTGTAAAGTCTGCATAGTGAGCGTTTGGCTTACATTGGTCACCAGGACTTAAATAATTGATAGAAATTCATAAATAGTTTCCTGAAAATTTAACGTTTCAGAATGTAGCATTGACAGTCAAAAAGAGTTCGCATACTTGTTCTATTGTGTCACTACGTTGGATTTCATAAACAAAAATAAAACAAAATACAGACAAATTATTTGAAAGTGTTATTAATGCCACAAATGTCGGACCAACAAATATCAATCTTTCAAAAAATCAGAATTAAATTGTGAGTGTGAAAAGGTGTGAATTTGCCCACAGTCCCTCTATCCTCTATATATAGAGGGACTGTGATCTGCCTAATCATCAGGACCCTCCAAAATATCGTCCCAATCGATATCGCCATCGCCAAAAAATAGAAAGTCGTTTTTGCGTGCTTACAGCATTTGTATATATAAAAATGTAAAAATAGCGGAGCGGATAGAATGGACGCGCAGTTGATACTTTTGAAAACAATAAAATGGCGTGCAGTTGTTGATTGCAATGAACATTTTTCCTGTCTACATTTTATATTAATGATTAGCCGATCTTTATCTGTTTAGTGCGTCTTTTGTTTCAAATGTTTACCCGCGACACGCATCCAATGTAAAGAACGTGGTTCGTTTTCCAACCGTCTTTTTTAGTAACCGTGGTGACAGTGCACATGTCATTAAACGTCGCACATGTATTGTTGCATCATTAATTTGTATAATTGTTTGCCTTGTAAACTGTTCATAACTCCAATGTTAACTTCTAATATCTTTTTGTAAAAAAATATTGAAAGTGAAGATGTACTTCTGCAGTAGTACCCTTATTATTACCCTATATCATAGACCCTCCCTATCATAATAATTATCTTTATTGCGTTCGTATCCCTATTATGATGTTGACTAAAATGCAATACAGATGTCAATAAAGACAAACATACAATAAAGTGAGAATAAAAATTCATACAGAAAAATAAAAACAGACAAGGAAATAAAAGTAGGGGGAAAATGTAAATTGGATTGTTTTCCATATTTGGGTTGGTGAATGTTTGGATTACTAGTACATGTACATGACTTTATCTTGAGATAGCTGACTATATTGTGTTTCAGTTTTTCAGTTGCTATATTTTTCAGCTCTTATATGCATAGAGCACAGTGCACATAGTCACTATTATCGACCACAGACTGACGAATCAGGGTATACAGGTGGCAACACTTAAATACAATGCTTCTTGTTGTCATCTTTTCTATAGCTATATCTATCTGCTTGTAATTTTAATTCTTTTTTTGTATGTCACATTTAGCGCTATAGAAATAAAATGCTTTGTTATTGTTATTCAAGTTCGCCGTGGAAGTCTTTGGGGTTTTGAGATGCCGTAGTATAATACGAATGGCTAATTTATTTTTCTTCGTAGAAACGTTGTGCATTCACATTTTAAAATAAGGAAAGTTGTCTGACGTTTCGTTGTTACTTTTTACGAATTGTATTCGTTTTATGACAAATTGGTGAAAATAGGAATCAAGTTTTTTTGGTGAAAAATGGTTCTAGCTAAAATAAAGTAATATATGATGGATATTTATCCTAACTAGTTCAGAATTACTCTTAACGGAAATAGACGGATTGCCGTCCCAGGAATTACTCTTTAAAAATGAAGAATCAAAAATGCTGAAGGTCACGCCACAGTCACTCCTAGTAGAGTGACTGTGGTCTCACACTTCAACCATAGACCTTAGAAAACAGTTTTCTAACAGTTTTCTAAGGTCTATGCTTCAACTTAGTAATGTTTATAGATTTGTGATTCGTGGAATGTTTTCCGCGGGACCTATTTTCAGTTTTGTAAGAGGTTTCTTCATTGGGTAAATGTATTAGTCCCAGCCAATCGGAATACATCTTTCTTAGAGTTATTATATTTTCAATATGGCGGTCGCGGGAAGTGCATAGTGAACAAGTTGATCCGAAAAACAAAGCGCGTGTTTGTAAACTGTTTCAACCTAGTATAGTCACTCACAACCAGGTAGGGATCATTTAAATAATTAGAGAACTTCGATGAACTGTCGAACAAGTATGGCAACATGGTAGTATTGTTATTATTGAAAGCGTGTGTACAGCTGAGTCGTGGTCCCAGGCCGGGGTACCAGCACCAGCGGCACGACTCGGTAACTGTATTCCTGAATTTTGTGTGGAGCAGTCATATTAAATAGTTGAGCCGTAAGCTTGTTTTGACCACCGTCCCCTAACACGTTGTTGAAGGGCGGTGTTTTGACGTTAGAAATTTTGTTGCATGGAACGCGGTCCCTCAATTACATACAGATAAACACGCTGTACCAGTCATTTTGTAATTCCTGTCCCAGGGAAATAGCTGTTAATTAAGTGTGTATGTAAGACAACTTTTTCTCTGATTGGTCAGACTGTTGGGTTGCCAATCAGAGAACATGCATGCTTTTCTCTGATTGGTCAGACTGTTGGGTTGCCAATCAGTGAACATGCATGCTTTTCTCTGATTGGTCAGACTGTTGGGTTGCCAATCAGTGAACATGCATGCTTTTCTCTGATTGGTCAGACTGTTGGGTTGCCAATCAGGCTCAGTCTCCTAAGTAGCTTGGCGTTGACAAGGAAGGCGAGAACATTTCTCTAGTATAAGTATGACCATGGAGTGTTTGGCAAAATCAACGAGAACCCTGTTCCACTTTTTTATATATAATAATTTATTCCTTCAAAATTCATACGTTTTTATTTTACAGCAACACTGAATTTATTATATATAAAATATGTTTTTGAAATGCAGTCCCATTGATTTTTTTTGTGTACAAAAGTCATATAGGGAAATTTGAAATTACGATAACACAAAACAAATGACTGACAACAAGTAACAAAACAATCAACAAGAACAAACTACACAACATAGTAAAATCAATAAGCGAAAGATATATGGACCCAATGGTATACATGAAAATGTCCTAAATGTGAAACACTGGGGTCCTAGTACAGATCACAGTGACAGTTTCACTGGTGTCCTAAAGATGACATTAAATCATCATATCAAAACAACTTCTAGCTGTGAAAATTAAATTCAGCAGATTGTGTTTACTGAGTCTACCTTGTCTTGCTAGATCCAGCATGGCCTCTGTTGATAAATTGAGTATTCAAGGTATACGTAGTTTTGGTCCCAAAGAAGAAGATAAACAAGTTATCAAATTCTTCACACCACTGACATTAATAGTAGGACAAAATGGAGCAGGAAAAACAGTAGGTATCATATTAAATGCCAGTTTTATTTTGAATAAAATATGATTCTATAACATCATTTTTTGTGATAATGTTTATTTAATGATGAGATAGTTATTTGAAGGAGATTGTTGAGTCGTAATTACTACAGGATGAACAACCTCATGAACTCAATTCTCACAATGTGATAAAGATGCAGACATTGAACGTTGTTGTTTTATAGACTGTCATAGAATGTTTGAAGTATGCAACTACAGGTGACATGCCACCAGGAAGTAGAGGTCAAAGTCATGCATTTGTACATGACCCAAAGGTAAATACAAACATATGTCACTTATTATAGTGTCCCTTCAACAGATTACAGTTATTATGACATAATGTTTGGTATGGGTCCCATACAACACAGTACAATGTTTACATGTATGTTGTACAACTATGACAAAAAGGTATATGTAAGATGATATTAGAATTATACATACATGTATGTGTATACTTTATTAATATTGTTTCACAGTAAAGTACACAGTTTATTCTAATACAATACTACAGTGAAATCAATGCTGTTATTTATTCAAATATTACATTTACCATACTGCTTTTCGTGTTATATGGTACCTTATTTTCATAACAACCATTCAACTACTATAAAGACATTCTTTGATTTTGTAAAATTTTTAAATTTTAAGCCATGAATGCCAAAGTCAACTGTTGTCACCTTTCACAGCCGATTCTTGCATAATTCATTTTATATTATCTCAACAATTTTGATAAAGTCATGTATAATAAAAATGTCCAAACTGAACAAAGAAATTTAAAACAAGAGGCAGGAAAATAGGGGTGATCATATTTTAGCAGCTGACCTTTTATTGCTGCAAGAATCACATTGCAGGTAGTTCTGATGAAAGGGCTCATTTTGGAAGAATGATTCTCCATTTCACAGATATTTTCAGGTTTTATTAAATTTAGCCTGTATACAAAAATACTCAACACAATTGAGGATCAGCAATATTTAGAGTTAGATATTTGCAGCATTTCTTGTATCACAAGTGTCATTTATTATCAATTCATAATATTAGTGAACATTGTTTTTTCTGTCAAAGTTATTTTTTTTTGATTTACCAATTAATTTTATTTCTGCAGATTGCAAATGAACTTGAAGTACGGGGTCAGGTGAAGTTGAGCTTCAAAGACGTCAATGCCAAAGGGGTCGTTGTTTGTAGAAATATTGTAGCAACACAAAAGGTAGGGCTTCTGAGAGTGTATCCCCAGTGATTAGTAAGTTCTTCAGATAACCGTGGTTACTGGAGATTGGGGCCTGGATATTCACTGTATTTGTAAATTTTATTTATTGAATGCAGGTGAAAAAAGTTGAATTCAAGACTTTAGAAAGCACTCTGACGAGGGCAAAGGACTTTGGTGAGGTAAGTGAGTGTGTTCTGTGTGGATCCGTCATCATAATCACATGGTTTTACAAATTTTATGTAAAACTTACTCCCCCACAATATCATTTGTGATTCTACTGAAAGCGCATGTATTTGACCTTGGTTAAATATGATTGGAAGTCCCTATGTATGGCAATGGACATGAAGCAAAATGACAAGATGTTGATTTAAAAAAAAAGGATTATTAGTCCCCGTTCGGACGTAGTCCGAAAACGGGGACTTATGTTTTGCCCTGTGTGCGTCCGTGCGTGCGTGCGTCCGTGATCACCTGTATCTCGAACATGCATGGACCGATTAAGTTCAAACTTCACTCATACATCTCACATTATATGGGACATATGCACATGCATTTTTTTCATGATCCGATTAACGATAGCCGAATAGCGGCCATTTTAAGGCGGAAAATGCATCAAAATCACACATTTTCACCATTCCGGACCCCGATCTCAGTTATGCATGGACGGATTTCGTTCAAATTTGGTACATACATTAAACATAATAGGACCTTGATGCACGTCATTTTTTTTTTTGTTGATCAGGTTTGAAATGGCCGACTGGCGGCCATTTTGTTTTAAAGAATTCAGTTCTGGATCCGTATCTGAGACATGCTTGG